AAACAAAAACGCGAGAGAGAGAATGAGAGCGTACTCGCGCGCGCTGCTGAACAAACGAGCGAAACATAAATGAAGTAAATAATAAAGGTGTGTCATTATTCCGTTTATTCTTCCATCGTGTTTTCTGGTTGTCGTTTGTTATTGCTGCTGCGACTGCGACTGCGGCTACTATTGCCGTTTTTTGTTCCTTTTCTCTATCCAATTCATAGCGTATTTCGTGTCTTTTGTACGATTTTGAATGGAACAAAGTAGAGAGACGTGTCGATATGGGAAAAATGAATGTGGAATCGAAATCAAGGTACTTTGGAGGCATATTCGTGTGCTGGTGTTCCGAGATAGTCGCTCACGTGAATCTGGCTTCGGACAATTTGGTGAGGCGAGCGATAGAGAGCGAGACATAGAGGAGGCAAAACTGAATGGATTGTTCGATTGCTCATTTACGCTTTCGATCATTAGCATCGAGAGGCTGGTAATAATCATTTAATATTGTTATCTCTATATTTATACACAGAGAGCAGAAAAAATATAAAAATGATCCGTCAATAATATTGGACTTTTGAATATTTCGTTTGCCAGCGTATGTGTATGTGTGTGTTGCATTTCATGTGGTAATCGCTTTTACGTGTACGACGTGTGTAAATTTATCCGTGTGTTTTGTTTGCCATTAACCATTGGCTTCGCGCTGTGTGGAAAACGAAACAAAAATCCAATCTAAACATCTCGGCGCGCGCAATGAATTCGAACACATGTAAGATAAACTTGTTTTTGTATGTACGCGAGATCGTTCAACACACAACTGATTTATCTCGTCTTTCGATGAAGATTTTTCTCATTGCCGCTTCTTTATCGGTGGCCGTAGCCAGATGCACAGCCAATGCCAATAGACACATTCACATGTCGATATCGCGCTCATTCTCTATATCAGCCCATAATCTATTGTTTATAATCACGAATTAAAACACAAGCAACGGTACGGCTTCGAACAGAGAGTGAACGAACAAAAAAAAAGAATCGTCCATTGCTTAAGCCTGGTATAGAACGTAGCTAAACTTTGGTTCTTATTGCTTTATTAATTATGGTAGCCGGTGTACATCGACTTTTTTCATTTTCACTGCACATCCACTCGATGTTTCATTGATTCCCGTGATACAACGCAACTCTTTTTCATTTTCATCGTCTTTTTCTTTCATTGAATCCTCGATTTTTTTTTCTCTTCTTTTCATTCACTGTTTGTCCATTGCTTCGTTCGATTATTATTTATTGGTTTAATTAAATGCTGCTGCATAGCTTATCGTTTGCGGATTTATTTCTTCTTCTTCTTCATTTTTCTGTTCAATCACCATTTTTGGTCGATCGACACCGAGTTTATTTCCCTTTCGATGGGAATTTCGTTTTGCGACAACAACCAAATGGGTTGTCTCTCTGACTCATTACACATTTCCTTTTAAGAGACACGGCTGAATTCCAATCGGTCAAGATCAACCAACGCTGCTTACTTCATCTCGGTATCGTTTATGGCATGGTTGCGCCATCAAACCATAAACAGCAGAGATATTGCCAGAGCCAGCATGGGACAGATGAAATGAAAAAAGAAGGTAAAATGGTCAGCAGCAGCGGCGGAGGCAACTGCGACGAAACGGAAGAAACCATTTCATTATTGTGTGAATTCATTTAAATTTCCACATATATTCACAAATTACACACACACACACACACACACACAAATTATGGACCTCATAAATATGCCCAACGAAAGAATGGAACGAAACAAACGAAATTATGACAATGGGAGAATTAATTAATTGTTGTCATTGGACCGTGATCAATAATCTATCGTCGAGAAGAAATGTTTTATTTGTTTAAAGCAGTCGAAGAAAATTCCATTTTTTTTTGTTCTCTCGACCAAAAGCATCTCACGACCCAAAGATCGGCAGCTCGTTAGGTTTTTTTTTCGCTTAATTTCAAATGCATGAACTGTAGTGTGCATGTGTGTGTGTGTGTGTGTGTGTGTTGGTTTAACGGTTTGATGAATATTTGTCGACATTTTTATTCGCTTTGTTTTCGTTGTTGTTTGACATTTTGTTCTGAATATATCGACACAGAGAAAATAGATTTTAGTTTGGTGGCCAATGATGATCAATCGCCAGTCAGTTCGACATAAATGGATGGTAATTTCCTACTGAATATACATTGACTTGCGGCGTGTTGTTGACTGTAATATCGTAATACATCTTCGTCGTTGAGATTTGATTTGCTTTTTTTCGCTATTCGACGTATTTTTTTTTCTCTCAGTCTGTCTGTTACTCTCCCTATCTTTCTCAGTCTCTTAGTATCTTAGTCTCTTGCTCACTCTTATACACTCTAACTCTCTAAAGCTCATGTGTGTGTCTCAATAATTTCCGTGTGCGTTTAAATCGATTGTATGTTTATCACCATCGATATGTCAACTGGAAATGGCAAATGGGCGCATGGGTGTGACAACATCGACCACGGCATCGGCTTTTCGTGTTTCCCATTACACATTTTTTGGCCTGCCAGAACATTTATCAATCGTAGTTTTGTTGTAACATTTTATCAATCACATTTTGGCTCGACCGGTGGTCAAAACTCAAATGAAATTCACTTTGCATCAAGAGGCGACAGCAAAAAGCGGGCAAACATTGGATGCAAACGTGCTTTCCATGTGGCCGATGGTCGATGGCCCGTGCCCAATTTTCCTTGTCTTTAAATCGATTGTAATGACCGAGGCAATGAATTAACTTCTCTGGATTCCATTTCTTTCTCTTTCTACGAAACTTTTCGTTGCTTCTTCTTTCCCACAGGCCGTCGATTAATTCTTCAACCGGCCATGGATTAAATCGTATTATCGTTGATTTTTTTTTTCTTGACACCTCAAATTGATATCCATCATATGATTATGGCCATCGATTGACTTTAATTACATCATTTGCGAAATGAAATCCGAGCAAATGCGATCACAATTTTCCACAACTTGACACAATGCTCGCCATTGAGTTTTGCCATTTAGTCAAAATGATTAAAAAAAAAAGCCGCGCACATAGTATATGCCACATACACTCAACTGCCACAAATCACACGATAACAACTGCGTTGCTGTGATATATGTCACTGTTGTTACACACGTCGTTGCCACCTTTTGTGAATGTACTACGGCTTGGCAACTCTCGCCAAAGATTTACGGCGTTTTTTTTCCTTTGCTTTCGATTCAATTTTATCAGTGTAACGTCTTGTTCGCTATCAGTCGTATGCATCTTAAAAGTGGCGATGTAGTTGTTTTTTTTAAAGTCAGAATATGTTTACGTCGTCAATTTGTAATGAGAATACGCTAAATGATACGAACGATAAGCCATTCCTTATCTAATGGCAGACAAATGTTCTATTGCTTCTGGGCCAAAAATCGGTTTGACAAGCGGCTGAATGACAGAGAAAAATGTGACTTCAAATGAAATGATAATAACGGATTAGAACGCTTCACACCGAACAGAACTCTATGAGCGAATAGGTGTTTGACCAAACTTTGTTCAATCAAATTAGGTCTTGAAATATGTAAATTTTACATGAAAAAACAATCATGGTTGAGGTAAAAAAAGTGGAACATGCATGGAGCGTAAAAGATTCTTTATACTTTGAACGAATCGTTGTTCAATGAACGATTTAAAGAGAGCGGTTGTGAACGATATAAAGAGACAGTCGTGGTTAAAACAGCGTAAAAAAGGCCGATTCATTGTTTTTGACCCACTACGTGCTGTCTGTGACGAAATTAATTTGGTGCTGATTTTTCGATGTGAGATCGATCACACAATGGCATATTAAAATATGACGATTTGTTTCTTTTTTTGTTTCTTTCGAAATAGAGAATCGAACGTGTTCGTGTCGCCGACCGATTGAACAGAAGAATGTAAAACAATGGATTTCCGGACGACATATCATCGATTCGAGCGAAACAAAAGACATACAGTTAGATGGATAAACAATCGGCTCGTAAAATTTATGGCCATGATTTCTTCTTGGAGTGTGTGTATGTGTGTGTTTGGATCAAACCGATTTCTTGGACGTGTGTCACACAAAGGGAATCACCTTTTTTGCCAGCGTGGCTGAGTGAAAAGCAAACGATTTCGATAGAGAATGATTATGTACTGCGGTGTCCCAGTTTCGTAAGGGGCCATTCGCCCGAAATGTGCATAAAATACAATCAAAACTAATTAATTAATTGTAAACTGGGAGTAGACGCAGTGTGTGTATGTATGTGGACAATGTTTAATGTAGTTTTTAGCGCACGCCATCAACGGGGCGATTTATCCATGGCAAAGCAGCACATATTTTATACTCATTCATTTTATGGGTCACTTGCGACAAACTGACACTTTTTTATCGCTAATCTTTTTCGAACGCAAACATGTCCAACAAAACGCTGTCTCTCTCTCTCTCTCTTGCTCTTCCTCTATTTCCCTGACTCCCTTTCTCATGTTCTTTCTTTCTTTCCCTCTATCTCTCTTTCCCTCTATCTCTCTCTATCTCTATCTCTTTCTATGTCTCTCTAACTCTCTCCCTTACTTTTTTCGCCTTCCTTTAAAAAAAATGCACACTTTTTTTCTCATTATACACTTTTGTCTTCTTTTTTTTCTCCTCCTGTTTCATCTTGAGTACTAAATCAAATGAAAAAAGCTACTCGTGGGTGCGTGTTAGCGCCGGTTAACGACATATCGTCCCATTCAATTTGCGATTATGTCAGAACGCACGCACATCATTCTTTATTCGACATTCGTTTCGGTGTATAAAATTGTCTCTTCTGTTTTTCCCCTGTGCGATAAATGGCGTGTCCGTCCAGGCACAATACACACGTACTCATCGCACAGGATATATTTAGATTGCAATAAAAAAAAGAACACAAAACCGTTGACTTTGTGTCTTGTCGTTTGATTATTATAAAAAGAAATGATAAATAGCCTGAATTAATGAAATTCAATCTCTTGTCTTACCTGATGTCATCAAGCCGATGATTAATAGCTCAAGTAGCAGCAGCTTCCACGAATTCATGTTGAGCCTTTCAATATTTTTTTTCTCTGATGTATTTTTCACTATTTTCGCGAACTCAACTGCGAAACGAATCAAAATGTTACGAGGGAGAAAAAAAAACTACAACGCGACCACTTCAACGATTGATTTGTTTCGTTTCACTTTTAGTTTCGGTTCTCTCGTCTCTTGCAGTTTCTCTCTGTTGGAATGCAAAAAAGGAGAAGAAAAAAGAATGTGTTATGAGTCTTTGGAAAATTGCGTAATAAAAACAAATGCACTAAACATGGTTCTGGGATCGTAATTTTTTTTTTTACTGTTATGTTCTGTGGATTTTCATGAGATCGTTTCAGCTTGCAGATTGCAAACAAAGTAGCGATTTATTTCTCTTCAGTTCTTCAATTTTTCAGACTTTTTTTTTACTCAATTCTTCACATTTTTCCCCGGTTTCCCTTTGAAAAAGGGATTTCATTTGTTGTTTCTCTTCAAATGCATCGTTTCATTTCGAATTTGTCGTTTTTTTGTTGTTGTTCGGCATGCGGTTCTTGTGTCGTTTTTGACACGCAACGGAAGCCAAAATATCGAATGAGTGAAATAAAACGGCAACTGCAGACAAAACAACGGCATGAAAAATATCACACAAACATGTGAATAGCCCGTTGCAATTGCTCAATTCATCAGCCGCATGGTACGTATGTCAGAGCGAAGAGTGGTTCACTGTGCGCGCACGCGTGTGTGTGTGTGTGAATGCGCACAAATGAACAAAATAACGAAACAAGAATGAGGAACAGCACACAAAAAGCACAAATGAAAACTAATTGCAAAGACGATATAAATCACACTGCCATTCAATCTCACTTGCACATTGGGCGCGCGCGCGCAAGCGCACGCTCACACTCTTCGTATACACTCGTATGCATATTTATGCGTACAATTGTGAAATGTTTTCTCGTCATCGTCATTGCCGTCCTCATCATCGTCGTCGACGTCGATTGGACCGGCAATGCTTATGTTTAACACTTTGGCAATCGACCGAAAATTATGATTATTTTGTGTGTATATTTTAACAAAAAGCACTTTGGTTTTGTTTGCGCTTATGTTCATATTCGACAAGTTTTTTTTTTTGTTGTGCGTTCGTTTGTTATGTCGCGCACAAAATTTATGGATATGGCACAGATTACAACAATGTTTAACACTTTGATGAGATGGAAAGAGAGAAAAAGAAATGCATTGGCATGCGTACATAATTGACTTGGCCAGAAAGGAAACCACAAATTGGCGACTTTGAATGATAAATAAAAATGCTTTGGCTTCGACTCATAAAGAGGATGGAGATGAAGGAGAAAAATAAGAAGAGGAAATTAAGAAGGAATACAATTCAGACGAAAACAAATGAAAAAGAATAAAAAAATCAACAATCACTCGCATGAATGCAAAAAATTGGCATTTTTTCGGTTGACAACTCAACTTAAGCACTTTTTTCTTCACAAAAAACACAAAATTCTTGAGAAAAAGAGATTTTCGTGCTTAAAAAATTTGCAGAAAGAGATGTTTTGCTATGTTGCGGAATGTATTGACTATTGTTGTTGACATTCTTGAAAAGAATGCGCAGCCATAGAAACATGGTAGCCCGCAGGTAATTGTGGAAAATGCATAAATGCAATGCAGTCAACGATCTTGTGTCGATGATTCATCTTTTGACGAATCGATCATTCTTTTGCGGCAAATCGGCGGATTTGTTTACTGATCAATCGCTCATTCAACAGAAAATGAGACAACTATTGTGGTTGTTTGCTCTTTTATCAGACTCTTTTTACATACTCAAAGGAGTTTTTGAATTTTTGGAACTTTCAGATTTTTTTTTTTAAACATTTCACCCAATCATTCATTTTGAAGGAGTTTGAACTTTGTTGGAATTCTAAAATGGATTGGAACTCTCAACTTAATCTGAATGAATCTCATCTGCTGAATTATCGAACTGCCAAAGTCAAATGGTTCCCGCCAAAGTCGAATAAACTCAACGAAGTCGAAACCTAAATTGTCGGTCACACTTTTAATTGAAATTTTTAATTTCAACCATTTAATGGCGAAAAAATGTGTTTAAGTCAAATAACCAAAAGAAAGGCAACGAAATGAAATGCAAGGAGCATTAACAGTGAAGCATGTCGCAAATTCGTTACGATAGCAAAGCAAAGCCGCCACAAGGGCACTTCACAAACTGTTGCTGTTGGGAGTACGAGTGCGGGTGTGCTCGCACCACACGCACTCAATCCACTTGAATGAAATGAACGAGAGAGGAATTCAAGTGAATATAAGAGCTAGAATTTAAGTGCAGGAGCGAGAACGAGAATGAGAGTAAGAGCAAGAGCGGGAGCCGTAGTACAAAAGCCAAAATGCAAAGCAAATAAGACGAGCGAGTGAGAAAGCCACATCGAAAATGGTCGTGAAGCGGCATTAAATTATTTGTATAAAATAAGTAGATTATGTACTCTTATTCGTTCCCCCTCTCCCTCTCTCTCTCTCTCTCTCTCTCTCTCCCACTCGCTCGCTCGCTCAGCGAAATGGCAATAATCGTCATATTTGTGCTAAACTTTGCCGTCATAATTCTGACTCTCTTTCACTCGCTCTCAAATCATCTCTCCTCGTTGCAGACAATATTTTATATTCATGAGCATAATTGCTTTTTATGTAAATAAATATGAATTATTGTTCTGCGTTGACTTGGTGTCTGTGTGTATGTGTGTTGTAGGCGAATGGCGTCTTCATCGGTTCGATCAAACGGGGCGCACGCATCAATTTCGCCTGAGCACACGCGCATCATTATTTTCGCCAAATGAGTTATAAGTTGTTGTTGGGTTGGAAATGTCGGATGGACTTGTTTGAAATGGATGATTATGATGAAATCCAATTGCTATTGTCGTAATATGTACCACGTTGTATCCTGATGCTCGAAACCGAAATGCCTTGGAATGTGACACAATTCATGGAATTATTCTGTGTGTGTGCAATTGTTTGCGAAATCAATGCAACGTTTTGTTGTTTTCTTCGTTTCGGAAATGAAAGAATGAAAAATAGCGACACACACACACACACACCGACACCAGCCAGTTATTGGCGACAGATTGCTTCGTAGCCGCTTCCTTTTGCATTCAGATATATGACAATAAAATGTGAGCAACGAATCGACGGAAATTCATTTTGCTCGAATTGCATTTGCGCATTCGTACACGATTCGTGTATGCTGAAAGGATTAGATTACTCTGGTTGTCTCACGTTTCTTTGGCTCCGATTCCGAGCGACAAATGCTTTCTCGTTCGGTTTTTTCTTTTTCATTTCAGGTTTGTTTTTTTTGGCATCTAAAACTGGCTGTCAAATGAGATGGTGCGCTTAGTTGCACAGACAGAAAAAAAACTACGTTTTTCGTGTACCGAAAATGAACGAGTTTTTTTTTTCAATGAGAAAATGATAGGTTTTTTTCCTCTCGTAGAGTTTCTTTTCGAATGAAGAAATGAAAATCCATTTTTCAAGTATTTGAAACACAATGATCTTGCGTCCATCAAAACCGAAATAACTGTTTGTAATTTTAGTAATCGCTTCCTTTTTCACTCGTTTTCTCGCCCACTTAACAAAAAAAAAACATGATTTCGTTGCTGTTGCTGTTCATTCATCTAATTGCAATTCAATTACCGGCGTGCTCAACCGATTTCTTCGTTCACTTTTCAATGTCTTGCATTGTATCACTTGGATATGTTTTTGGGCGCGTTCGGGAGAAAAAAAAGTAAAAGCCGCTCAATGTTTTTTTTTTTCATTTCTCTGTTTAAAATTTGAACTTCAAATAAAAACGTCTAGTTTTTTTCTGTTCGTAGCGTCTACTTGACTCTGTTGTAGAGTCAAAAACCACACTGAATGAGCCGAGAATGGTGTTTGTCGGGGAAAGAAGTTCTTTCGTTAAAAAAAACATGTTTTGAGCTAGCCAACAAAGATCTCGCTCGAGCGAAAAAAAGAACTTTCGTTCTCATTTTGGGAACTGTTTGGGAACAAACAAAAAATGGTTAGATTTGGTTCAAACCGATCTCATTATAAAGGCGAAATGCGGAATTCACATATGGAAAATCCATTTCTACTTCTCTTATGAGTTTAGTTTGCCATTCAGTTTTCGTTGTATCTGTTTATCATTTCGAGATGAGCCGATGAGCCACCTTGTGTACATACAAAAATGGGCTTGATAAATGCTTCGGAGTGTGTTTATTTTGGATGATAAGGTCGCGAGTCGGGCGCGCGGAGTAAACATCAATGAATGTGCTATGTTTTTTTTTTATAGCAAAAATGATGATGAGTGAGTGCGTTGAAAAAATTCACCGAACGGGTTAAGAGCGTAAGCCAGCATTTTGATCATTCTCTCGCGTAAGCACTTTTCAAGCGACAAAAATATACGTAAACAAAAAACAGAAGAATAGAGGAGGCATTGTTGAACTTCACAATCTATTAGCGATTATGCATTAACAAATTCTTCGGTTTTTGTTGTTTGCCGTCTGCGTTTGACCCAATGAAGTACAGCCACAATCGATTTTATATATAGCACTCATACACAACAATTACACACACTCGATGTGTTGTGTACTCGATCGGCGACGTTCGTCGTCGTTTACATTTTGTACGCTCGCGCTACCGAATTATTCAAAATACACAAAAGAAGACGACGACGATGAAAAAAAAGCGCTCGTTTTCGCTGACACATATATATACTTTTCCTCGATTGTACACCTCGTGTTTATTGTGATCGAGTGCGAGCGAACGGTGCAAATATTCGCTGCCTCGGGCACACTCTTCGTACAAGTAATTTATTCGAAAATAAATTACGATATACGAAACGTGCGCGTGAGCGCGAGCACGCGAAAAACAAACAACGCGACAAAACGACGGCAAATAAGAAGCAACACGAAAATATGGTGCAAAATGAAGAGTTAGCCAAAATGTTTTTCGATTTTTTTTTTGGTTCGGCGGCAAATATGCCCATTCATCGTAGGGCGTTTTTTTTTCTCTTTTCCTCCGCCTGTGGAAACTCTCTGATTTATTGCACTAATGCTCTTTAGGTTTTTGGGCGACCATAAATCATGGGCGATGATCACTTCTCCACTCTTTCTTTCAACCAATTCTCATTACAACTCTCTACTTTGATGGGACTCGCATTTCAACGCTATGTGCTTTTTTTGTTTGTGTCGAACAGGGGGCCCCGTTCTAAGTCCATGTGAAAAATTGCCGGCAAATGATTTTTTTTTTACTATAAACACCATATTGAATTGAAGTATAAGCGCATTTTCGGTGAATATGCGCGCACACACACGATCGATGGTAATTCGATCAGAAATTCCATAAGCAATTGGAACTTATTTAATCGGTTTAGGCGTTTTTTTTTTGGGCAATGAGATGCGCGCGCGTGTCAATCGATCACCAGTGTATTCAATGTCAATTATCTAAAGTGATTGATTACGATCATGAGCACAAAACTGCCGAATCTTTACGATCATTGGCCGATTCAGAACTCTTTTTTTCTCTTTATTTGGTTTATCACATCGAATCGTCACTTTCAATGGAATTATTTTTGAATCTATTGGTGGCATTTTTCACTTTTTAACCAAATTCTTGAAACCTTTATCAAATTTTGGAGTTTTTCAAGGAAATCCGTCAATTTTTTACATTCATTTCATCAGTTCTTAAACCAATTTTTGAGTTTTTTCGTCAATTTCTTCAATTTTTTTAAAAATATTCTTAATTTTTTTTTCAATTTTTCGAATATTTTATCTTTTTTCTTTAAATTTTCGATCAATTCTTTTAGTGTTTCATCATTTTTCTCAAGATTTCCCAACAATTTCTTCAAAATTTCAAGTTTTTCATCGATTTATTCATTTATTTCCATCCAATTTTCCAATTTTCAACTGAAAATCCATTTTTTCGGCGTAAAATTTGCGTTGCAAACTCTTTTAGTCACGCGAAAATCCTCAAAATTTCAGCACAAAACATCTCCCAATCGAACCAAAGTGAATAATTAACCCATTTTTCTTTTAAAATGACACACACCAAAAATTTGCCGGTTATTTTCACTGCAAACTTGCTAAAATTTCAGCTCAATCTTTTTTCAACGATTAAAAAAAATTGAACGAAAAAAAAAACGGTTCAACTGAACAGAATAAAAATCAAATCGGCCAAACTAGTACTAGTGAGTAAAATCCGAAGGGAATAACATCGAGAAAGGAAAACGCACAACACAAGCGCACCGCACCGAATCTGTTTTGAAACTGAGAACTGAATAGCCGAACAAAACGAATAGCCCATAGCACAAACGGCAAAGCATTGCAATTGCGAGAGTTACTGTCTCTCTGTGTCTGTGTCTGTGTTTGTATGTGAATGGTAGCGTGTGGTTTTGAATGTGTACAAGCGTAGCGTAGAAATAGTCCTCTAGGTGTGTGCATGTATTGGTGTTGTTTGTGTGTGCATCTCGGTGGCGGACAGGCAGAATAGAAAAGAGAAGCAGTGAGAGCGGTTGGCTCTATGGTGTCGGTATGTCGAGAGAGAGAAAAAGAAAGAATGAGAGAGAGTTAACGACAATAGCGCGCTTAGGCAAAGAGATTCAAAAAGGCGAATCGATTGGAAAGCTGAAAAACGCGAAGCAATCGAGAGTGAGTGAGAGCAACAAGAGGCGATTGCAACTATGTTAGTGCTTCGTAGTTGTGGAATACTATTGTCGCCAGTCGTTTTTCCATTTGAATTCTCGAGCCTTCGTCGACTCGTGATTCGTTTCACAAGTTCCGAGTGCGAGCGGAGCGGGCTAGCGAGAACATAGAACATGTATATATTTACGCTTTTCATTACGATGTTTTTCACGTAATTGATAAGGCCATATCAATTCATATCATTTTCACATTGCACATCTTCCGAAATTCCATACAATTTTATCAATTTCGAGAGATAATGTGACACATTTTCCGGGTTATTACAAACTAGCAACAACAACAACACCAACGACAACGAAGCAGCAGACAATTGTTCAGATCGGAAATATTTGGACCGCATCGAATGGCACAGCCGATTCGGCGGCGGTGACGGCATCGTAGTCGTCGTCCAAAACGTTGCTCGGTATTGCATCATGTTTTTCGGTTAGTTAGCTGGGCCAGTCCCGTGTAATTGGCTCATAAAAACCTCTCTCATGGTTCACAAGAAGAAGAGTTCGTTTCGAGTATGAACTCATTTTTGCACAAGACTGGATTTTATTCTTCACAAGAATAAGCTTCATTCTTTAGAACAAGAACGATTCTTGCTGGAACAACGATTCGTTTTTTTATGAATTTGAATGAAACGGCCACTTCGCTTCACAAAGGGCTTTCGTGATGTCACGAAAACATTTTGCGAGCGAGAGAGACAAAAAAAAAACAAGAAAAACTCACTCGAACCAGTAATGTGTAATGGCAAATCGAGCTGAAATGTCTCGCTTACATTTTAATTGTATGTCATAATTTTCTGCCAAATAAAAATGATCTAATATGATCGTGAGTTGTGAGTGTTACCGCAAATGACCTCTAAAAATGTATTATATCTCGCATTTGACACATTCGTTGTTGACTTTCCCGCTGTCTCCTTCTCCCGATTCTTTCTCTCTCTCTCTCTCTCTGCTTCACTGCCAATCATACGATATTTGCCGCCTGTTTCGCCATTCTGTTTGCAATCATTCAGCGTTTTATGACTAAGTTTAAATTTTTAATAGAGCAAAACTGAAGGCGAAATTACTAGACAATTCTATTTGCTCGGATGCTTTTGCCACTTCATTCGATAGGCTCGATGTTGAAATGATCTTCAGTCGCTGAATTTTGCAAAGTGCGGCCCATTTGGAACAATAATAATTTAAAAAAAACTGTACATGAAATGCTAAAAGCCGATAAAACTTCTATCTTGATTGGATTCACTCACGATTTCATTAAGCCCGAAAGCAATTAGCAAATTGAATGAACATAAGCACAAGCGAGAAAAAAAAGGCATACCCAAAGTGCTATGTAAGACAAATGAATGGCGAACGCCGTCGTGATTACACTCATCGTCATGGAACTGGAGAGAAATAACATGTGTATGCGGCAAATCGTGCACGCGTTCATCCCAAAGCATGGCCCATTCGAGATGCTCAGCTACATCGGAAACAAACTGTCGTCTATCATTTTTTGCAATCGAAGGTTTCGAACAAATCAAAACATCAGACCAAATCGAATCACCAACATATCATAGCACGTAAAAATACGGCAACACAACAGATGCACGGCAATAGCGTTGATTAAGTCATTTTCAATTGATAACTGACATTTAGTCGGCACATTTATCACTATAAGCCAAGCCAATAACCATGCAACTCTCAATTTTCTACTCCATTCAAACGGTTTGGTGGGCTCAATCGCGCAAGTTAAACGTTTTATGAACTCGAAGCGATGAAATGTTTCTAACAAAAACAGAAATGGGAATAAATGTTGGGTGAAATCTTTTCATTTAAAGCATTTTTTTCTTATTCAAACGATTGGATTGGCTATATGCAAGCAATAACTGCTTTTTCTATGAGATTTCTTCGTATTTCCCGCGTCTTTCATCTTGTCAGTGTGATAAGAAACTGATTGAATCGCGTGCTTCGTTTGTACGAATGAATTTTTCTGCTTAATTAACATTTTTCAATGAATTCGAAACATTTTTTCGTGGATTTTTGAATTTTTGTTCAAATATTTCAGACAATATTAAAAAATGTTGTTCAAAATTTCACTACAAAAGTCGAACTTTTGAAAATTTGAAAGAAAAATGAAATAAAAAACGAAATAAACGAAAAATAATAAAAAAATGTTTTAAAAAAATCAAAAAATTTAACAAGAAATTCTCCAAAAAAGTATCAAAACATTTTTTTCTTTGAAAAATTGAAGGGAAGTCAATTGAAGATTAAAAAAAAAAAATTGATCGAAAAATGCACGAAAAAAACGTAATGTTTCAAATAGAAAATCCAAAAATCTTGCATTCCATTGAAAATGTCCAAATTTGTTCTTTGTCATTCTTTCCGAAGAAGTTTTTTTATCTTTCAAATTCAATAAAATCGAGCATAATCCCTTCAGCCATGGGACTATGGCCCAGCTCAATCATGTGGTGTGAGTTCAAAGTAATCGATCACGCCAGTTGTGTGATACAACATGCAAACATTGTTATTCGCCAAACAGAAAAAAAATCGTATAAAATCAAATTATAGTAGGCTAGCCGGGTTGAGTCAGTGGAGCGAGTGCTCTTGATCACAATCACGATCTAGAATTCGTACTATAGATTTAATAATTGCGTTGCATTTGATTCAATCAGCAAAATAAAATTTTTATTATTATCCGCTTGTTTTGCAAAAATTAGCAAAAAAAAAAAAATACTGCGATATCTCGTTTATTTAATACTATATAGAAACGAAATGCGCCAACATTCCAGCGCAAGAGTGCTGCGAGAGGGCACAAGAAACAACAACATTAAATCGACAAATGTAAAAATAGAAATGGCTTAAGTTGCATGTTTGTTATATTCCAAGATTGGAGCGAGAGAAGGAGAAAAAAAAGTGTGCAAACGAAACGTGCCCAAAATGATAATAAAATCTTCTCTTCTTTTTGGATACAAGCCCAATGTGTTTACAATGAATTCCTTTGGGTAACATCAGTGCACACACACAAAAGTGCATTTTGCTGGTTTCGGCCCTTATTCAACGCGATTTACAAGCCCAAAACACAATCGCAATATTTTCCGTTTGAAAATCAAGCAAAAAAAAAAACAGTTGCATTTTTTTTTCACTCGTTCGTTGAAATGATTCGCTTCTCTTGGTTCTCTGTGTGTCTGCAGTGATAAAATATTTCGCACGCAAAAGTCTCATTCGTTTGCAATTAATATAGCCGAACCTAAAAATACGCATTCGCTATTTCAACCGGCGATCCTGTCGCTCTCTTCCTCTTACTCGTTCTCGCTCTCTCACTCTCGCATCGTGCCTAAGAAGAAGAAGAAGAAGAAGAAGAAGAAGAAGAAGAAGAAGAAGAAGAA